ATACTAATCACTACGAGACTATTAAAACTTAATATTAAGATCACATATTTATGGCCTGTTTTGAACACTGATTTATAAATCAGATGATTTCCCGAAAAATTGATTTCTAATACTTGTTTTTCTCAAAATCAGTTTTTTCGTCATGCAGTTTACGCGGGCAGGTTTTTCTCCATAACGACTCGACATGGAAGTGATAATTTTTTTTTATTACATAGGAGACATGTAGGGCTACGACTTACCAGGCTCCGATTTTTAAATTTCTCTTACTGAAATAAAAAACTTAGTTTGTTCATTGCTATTAGCATCTCGAATTTGAATATTTTTCGAAAAACCTTCTTTAAAAATCAAATAAAGAGAAATTCAAAAATCAGATCCTGTTAAGTCCTAGCCCTAAGGGTACTCTACAACTTGGAAACCATCCGGGCTTGTTAGCTCATATCCTTATTGTGAAATCCTTGTCCGCGTAAGGGGTAATGAATTGACTAGAACTTGTGCATTTCTTTGAGATGTGGGGGAGATATTTTAGCCATAAGCTATTCTAGTCAAGACTAACATTCTCTGAAATTTTGGTTGAAATGGGATGAAAAATAGCAAAGTTCGTTTCTGAGGGGATTCCCCTTAAATTGTGTTGAATACAGTTGAAAACGTAATTCTTTTATTGATAATTGTAAACAATCAGATAATACTATTGTATGTATATGTCGCTGTATAGGTAGATGTGATGGTTTTAATGCTTATTGTTCATTTGCACTTAATTCACGTTGAGGACATAAAGCTGATTATGGTTTTGATGCTTGTGATAAATTTTCAACATTGATTAATGATGGATATGTACGAACTGAAAGAAGAAAATCATAGAAAGCAATCTTTGAAGAAAAAAAATATTTGTAAAGAAATGTGAACGAGAAAGAAACAAACTTTGGCTGGAATAAGAATAAGTTCAGTTTCGATTGATTCATTTGGTTGAAAAGTAATACTATAAACTCGATTATTTTTAGTACAACATTATTCATTGTCTATAGATTGAAAGGATAGACAATTTAAATAGAATATAGTTTAAATTTATCAACAGATGAATATGTTTCAATACTGAACTTTGGATATTTTCAAAGATTTATTTAAATAATGTCTTTGGCACTGTTCTGTGAGAAAAAGAAAACAGAAGATTTAAGTATTCAATATTTGTATCTATCTTTGAGACAAATTTAAACTTCTAAATAAAAGTCTTTTTGATTATTTGGGTGAGAACAAATAAAATAATTAACCTTGATCCATGTGGATCCACGATCAGCTTGCTGTCATACATATCAAGCATCATAGGAATTTCTATTAGTATCATACATCTCTTGTCATGTAAATATGTGTATGTTCGACTGACAAATATAACGTATGGCTTCTTATGAAATACATGAACTATTTTGTCAAGAAAAGAATAATGAATTCTAGTGAAGGATGTATATAGTAGAAATCAAACAAATATTCATCGAGACTTGCTTCGATACATGAACGACTACCGTAAACATTTCGATTAAGTATTAAAGTATATCAAAATCAATTCATTTCAATGATTATAAATTATCTTTTCAAATCAAATTAGCTTAGTACATATTATATAGCTTGAAATTAATATATTCTTTTATTTTAAATTTTATTTATCATTCATTCAATCAAAATAGAGATTAAGCTATTGCCCAATTGTCACCCCATCCGCTACCATCACATGGACGACAATTGCAGCTATCACATCCACGGTGATCACGATAACTACCGCAATTGCATGGCATGAAGCACAACATTGGCATACAGAATGGATTTGATGGTCCAAAGTCGCCTGGCCATGAAATAGCACGACGTTGTTCTTCAACAGATGCAGCAGGATTGGCCAAAACCAAAAGAGTACCACAGAGAAGAACAGAAAGAAGAATAGAAATGATTTGATTAAGCATGGTAAAAATAGTTTCTTGCAGATTTTCAAGAACGACTGATGATTTTGAAGGTTTAAGATCAGTATTTATAAGGATTGATAAACATAACATATCGATTCAGCTGACAATTTTCTCAAGCCTCGATACCTCTATGTTATTGATACTACAATAGAAAGAAAAAAATATCGTTAATGGTAAACTGATATCATTCTATTTGACTTTGTCCTTCGCCTTCATTTTTAAACTTTGATTTAACCATAAGAACCCTGGGAAAATCTAGATAAAGTTGCAAATGCTCTAGTATTTCGACAATTTTCTAACTATAACAAAATTCTAGCCTTGAGTATTACAGCATGAATGATATTAAATATAAAGGATGCTTTATAAGTTCTGAGCGTCGATAAAAACTACTCTATATATAGACAAGAAATAATTCCTAATTACTAATAAACCGTATGAGCGTCGAGTAGACAGTTTGATATTTCAGACATATCTTACTGATTAAGACCATCTCTCTTAAAAATAGCAATATAAATTTATATGAGTTAGCTTTCATCAAAGTTCAGAACTCATGAAACATCCTTTACTTAATATAAAAAAAACTCGTATACACCCACAAAAAATAACGATATCTTATTATTAATTAGTGTTGATTTATAAATATCTTCAACAGATGATAGAAACTTTATTAATTATTCTTACCTAACACTTCTTCGATCTGCACTCTTACGCCGATAAACTATTTATTTTTCCGACGCCTATATGATCTCAAAAGTGATTCAAACCTACCATCACTTGACAAACTTCTCTACTAATCTGTTAACATATAATCATTTGAGATAGAAACGGATAAATATTCGCCACTTTTTTCTAACATTATTTATCATTTCCATTTATGGAACAAATACATATATTTGCTATCTTATTCCTTCTTTCTCTTTTATTAACTATTATTCTATCTATTGGATTCAACATAGTTGAAAATAGATAATAATGATGTAGAGTTAAATAATGATAATCATGCTTTACCCCAAATTTTGTTCGTTGTTGTTTACCACATATTTGTGTTAAATGACGTTTTCGAACTGATAAATGTCTTCGTATGAAAGCATAAATATTCTTATTTTTTGTTCTTAAATAAAAATAAATATGTTTGCTGTGTTTAATAAATTCAATTAGAAAAATAAAAGTTGTTAGCTCAATCCCTGTGCGATTAAAATGTGAAACACGATTGAGCTGATTGCTTGCGTTGTAAATGAGAAAATACTATAGTGTCTTTCACGGTCTATAACGCGGAGAAAGCATTGCTAAGATGGGTGTGGGTGTGGATTAGTAAATGTAAGACACATACACCCACATCCGTACTCAGCCACACTCACATCCTTTCATTGCCTAGTAATTCTTTCAACTAATTCTACTCACTTGCCAATTTTTCCTCGTTAACAATCTTATCTTCATAGATAGCTTCTCTAATAAAAACTTCACATTTTGAATTTTCAGCAACTTTCCATTGGATCTCTTACCGTCGATCTCGTTTTTTGATTATACCTCTTTCTCGTTCTGTTTGTTCACCCTCCAATTAATACACTATGCCTGGCAGTCAGATGATTGCGAGCCCAATCAATTAAAGCATAACACGTTGTGTAAGTACACTCAAGTCTTGTTGTTTCTGGGAAAAAGACAGAGGTCTGAATAAGGAAAGATAAAAATGAATTATCTGATTGATGCATCTCTTGTCTATATAAAGAGAGAGAAGCTAAACAGAAGAGATCAGTTTTTTTTTTGTTAGAACACATCGTTTCATAAAAACAAACATGCGTCTGTTGCTGGTATTATATTTTTCTCTTTTTGTATTCTTTACTGATGTTCTTACTCGTCCATCCAGGCCCCGCGCGAAGGTCCCAGGTTTGGGGGGGTGTAATAGGTCCTGAGGCAGCTAAGCTTGAGCGAAGCAAAATTTTTTGCAGTAGCATAGCCAAGAGGAAAGAGGGTCAGTCCCCTTCCAAGAAAAATTTTCTGGTGGGGTACAGAGTTAAATGTTCGCGAAGCGCAAATTTTTTTACCATGATGGTCCCCCTTCGAACCCTGGTTCCTCCTCTTAGAAAACTTCTGGCTATGCACCTGATTTTTTTTCGCATTAGACCTGATATAAATGTTTCTCTCGCAACCTAAAATGTAACAATTTCTCGCAAAGCGAAAACTTTTTGCAACTTTCTTAAAAAATTCGACTTTCTCGGGCAAATTTTCAAGAAGATAAATCATGTCCAATGTAAGAAAATTTCTCAACAATTCGGCAGGCGAAGGCGGCCACGCTGGTGACGATTGTTCTCGATTAGATCTTTTAAAGGGAAAATCGACTAAAGTTGGAAGTTTTTCTAAGTTAACTGTGGTTACGCAACTGTTATTTTTCGCGAAGCGAAAACTTTTTTCAGACTAAGGAGAAATTCGTCTTTTGCTTATTTTTTTTCTAAAGGAAAAATTGTCGCGATAAGTCATAACAATTTTGCCGCCGAAGACGTCCACCTAGTGATGATTGCTTGAAAATGAAGCTGCTCACAAGGTAGAAAACCGTAAAATTCTCATAAAAATAGCAAAATCATAGACATTTTTAGGCCGAATACGCTCATATGGTTATTTCTTCGCGGAGCGACAAATTTTAACATCTCAGCATTTTCTAGAAAAATCATCGTTTTACACTGGGTTTGGAGGGAAAAAAACCATCTGATTTCTTCAACTTGCCATAGAAATTCGTGTTTTTCACCGATATCCCAACTATAGTTTACAATTATTCGGGAAAGGTCATCCCCTGACTCCCCTCTGTACTCAGAATCCTTTTGGAAGATGTCTGAAAAACCTCTAACAGCGAGGATACTTTGAAAGTTCAAAAAATTCATCCACTTTGCTGGCTAATAATAAATAATTTTCAATTTTTGGGGGGGTGTACACCCCCCTACACCCCCCCACTTTCGCGGGGCCTGCGTCCATCATACATTGATATTGATTCTACGCTGCAAGATTTAATCTATTTATCTCAAATTGATGCCGATGATCATCTGATCAAACATACTGATAATGCTTTTATCGTTGGAAGTGAAGAATGGTGCGCGCTAAGGGCAGAAATTTTGACAAAAGCTTTAACCGATCCTGAATCAAATTTAACACCTCAACAACTACATATGCTACCGAAACTTAAGAGAAAGAAACTGACCCGACGCCAGAATTCGGTGAACTGTCAAGATGAATATCAGGAATTGGATAAAGTGCTCGAAATTTTGGATAATCAACTAACTTTTGAACAAAAAGCAAAAATAGAAGATAAAAGTGAGCAATACGCACAAATGATGCTGAATGAAATGCAGCAATGATAGAACCTAATGTCGTCGCTCCTAACTCTCCGAAGATTACTCAAACTATATAAAAGATTTATATATTCTCATTTTCACCTTTTTATTTTTCCATCCTCTCTATATCGCTTTTGTTATGCCTGCTTAAAATAAAAGATTGAAAATGAAATTACATATCTAGAGAAAAATCTCAATGATAACTAGTAAAATACGTACACTGTGATGATTGATTTCGACCAATTTCTGGTCGTTCGGACCTCCTTGCTGTCTTTACATTTGTATTGAGATGGAAGAGACGTAATCCTCTTGAAAGAGAGTGAAAGTGAATAAGGAGAAAGCTCTCAGGGTTTGAGTGTGGGGTGTGAGCATTCATTGAGAGAAAATGGACGCACACCCATACACCCACACCCTCAAGAAGGTAACAGCATTTTAAAAAATCGTCTAAATTGGTTGAGCAGAACAAAAGTTATTGGCCAAATATAGCTAAAATCTCAATCGTACCAAAAAGTTGCAATTCACTCGTATATATACCAGAGATTGAAAACGGAAAGAATTCACCAGAAGGTAATAGAGAACATACCAGAAAAGAAAACATACACTAGTCCTTCCAACACCTAATAAAACTTTGACTATGTTCAGTCATTTCAATACTTGTACGTCATTGAGTTTGAAAATTCTGAATGTTGGTATTGGTACAAGGGGGAAAAGCAGACCGTGGATGCTAGTAAAAAATCAGTTAAAAGCAGTTCCAAAAAATGAGCTCTAAATTCCGAGATTGACAATCTTTATTGAGATTGAATTCAATTTTTGACGGCCGGCTAAGTTTTCACGAGCATTATAAATTCATTCAGCATGATCCAAAGCCCTCATTGTACAATGAGAAAGTGTGAATTCACTATTTAGAGCTACGATTTTGATAGTAACTAGAAATTTATGAGTTGAAGACCTTCAGACCTACATTTCACGGTCGTTAAACCACCGAAAATCGATAAGAACGAGCAAATTAGACTAGCTACAGTGCTCTAAAAATCCATGAAAAAACCGGCAAACCGGTCGTTCCAGTTCTAACTCTGGTATTCATTGAACTGTACCAATATCTATTAGGATTTGCCAGAGTTCATGGAAATCTATCATAGTCTATTACGAATCACTTCAGCGCACCCGTTTTACTGTAGTTCACTGGAGTCCACTATAATCTTAAATCAAGGAAAAAACACAGATTCTATTGGATCCTACACGATCATTCATTTATTTTATTTTAAGTAAAAAGAATATACAGTCAACATTCTAGACCATATTGATGATGATTGAACCGATTGAAATACATAATTAAATAATGAACTAACAGTTAAATAAGTATGTTCACGTAACTCTGTTGTTTTGCCAGCATTAAGATATTGAACTAGAAAAATTCAAATTAAATTAAAAGAAATTTTTATTTCCTATTTTTACATACTTTCTGGTAGATGAGTTTCACAAAATCAGAAGACAGAATCAGATGCCTTATGTACTGTGGCTGTTGCTACATGAAAAACCTAAATATAAAAATAAATTAAAATTAAAAAAAACAAAATGAAAGGAAATTTTCCTACAGTCTCTGTGCCATGTTGAATTGTTGATGTAGTTGTATCTTTAACTGAATTCATTACATGACGAACAGATTCAGTTTTTTCGTTGAATGTATTCATAACCTCTTCAGTTGGTGTATTGATAGCAGGATATTTAGATTCAATTTGACGAAGTTTTTCGGAAGCATAATCATCAATTTGATGCACTAAATTATGAGAATATATATATTAAAAAAAAAAGCGAATTTATTTAAAAAAAATTTACTAAATCCATATAATGGTTTGACAAGGGGATCAGCAACTGTAAGAGTGATTTTCAATGATTTATTAGCAACTGTTTCAGCTAAATTGCATGGAAGACGAATGAGTACACTTGTATCTTTAGCTTTGGCATACATCTCGTGAAGTTTATTAGTTGATGAACGGACGACTTTTAATAATTAAATAAAAAAAACAACAATTAAAAATAATATTAAAAGTAACATTTTCTTACCTGTTATGTCATGAAGATATGAGAGAGTTTGAAAACCGAACATGATTCAAATGAATAATAAATAAAAATATCGAACTAAAAATATAGTTATTAGATACTAAGATTGAAGTGAAAAATTTAATGCATATACTTGTCTTTATATACCGACAAACGGACATACACACATAAGTTAAAAAGCAAATTCCAAACACGCATCACTCGACGAAGAAATGAGATAAGAAACAAAGGTTGTAGTATGACAAGATAAAAAGCGGACCATAGTCAAGGTAAAAACATCAATAAAGAAAGAGTAGAGGTTGGATGACTAATAAGCAAGACAAACTTTGACTCAAATAAAAATCTTTTACTAAAAAAGTTCTTTCCTGTAAACATAAAAAAGAAAGATCAAGAAATAGATGACATATTCATATAATCAAACGTTTCGTACGTTTTCCAGGATAGAAGTGTCGCCTTAACATTAGCGTTGCATTAGAGTTACAATCGAATACTTTGGCATTAGTATTAAATTAATATCAGGATAATGCTAATACCTAGCATGATTATGCAAGTTGTTGATAGATATATCACTTTAGCTCTATTACTAGCTTCTGTCTACTAGTATTTTTTTTGTAACATTAATATAAGAAAAATCCTATGTTGATATCGCAGTTAACTCATTGAAAGGACCATTTAAGATGATAGCATCGTATATCACTTAATTTTCATATGACAGATGTTGAAGTGAGTAGTTATTTTTTAGTAAAAGATATTTAAAAGCTTTTTGTCCACTATTCTGCTTATGATTATATAAATGCTTATTAAGTATGTCGTTTTTTCGATATCTTTCTACACGTATAAAGCACAACAAAATCATTTCTGCAAATTACTTCATGTGTTGTTTCAACAAACTTTCGTTATCTGAATTATATCTTGTAGGGTGTGGATGTGGGTCGATGTATTTACTTTTGACGCTCACACCCACACCCTGCTTGTTATTGAGATATGAGTACTCTCGATTGTTGAAAACCTTAAGTCACTAACTGTAGTAGTTATCGAATTATTAGAGTTATACCCACTGCTCTTTAATTCCGACGTAGACATTAATATGTAGAAAGTAAAGTTATTGACGACAAAATATCGGAATTAAGAGCGTCAAGGTATAGTAATGTCCAAAACAACAATACCCTCTAATAAGTATGTAGAAGATAAAAATTGTAATCTACCTTCATTATCACTTCGACTTATTTACTTTAGCGACATGTTTATACTTGAATACATTCTACACGCGACGTTTCTACCAACTTTATTTTCAATATGTTATCTTTCGATCAAAGTTTCGCATAAGAACTGAATAGTTAGGTAAGTCATCATAAAACACATAGTCCAGTACACTCGTAGTGAGATCGATAGTAAGACTATAAGTAACGAGATATTCAGATAAATAGTGAGATTGACAATTTATGAATAACTGTCAAACAAGAACTCAAGAGTTCGGGCTTTCGACAATGTCTACAATCGACAAAATATTTTTTACTTCTCTTATTGGACACATGATCAGTGAATATTGATGAAGTAAATATCCGCAGCCGCACCTGCATCAATAGTCACACCCACACCCTTATTTGAGGAGAGAAATTCGAGAATTTTTCACATGTTGGCTTTTTCCGTTCTCTTGCATTGCGACATCCTTCAAAGAATCCCGCTGGCTATGCGTCAGACTGAGAATACGCGAAGGTAAAGAAATTTCTTTTGTCTCTCTTTCATACCCATTTGATGAAGAGAACGAAAAACACTTCGATAAGTTTTTATTGACAGTCTCAAACATTTTGAAAGGCTTGAGAGAGTCATTGAGATTTTTTTTCCAACATTACAGCTTTTAAAAAGTAAAATCTTTTGTTGACTTCAATTATATTAGAAAAAAAATGACATCACATAGAACTACGCCTGGACATCAATGGCGTGTCAAAATTATGGGTCTTGGACAAGATGTGACTGTTATTCAATTATCAAATCAATTCGAAGTAGAGCCTCAACAAATAAGCATCCATAAATCTCAAACACATTCGTCTAAGTTGTATGCATTAATTAATGGATTCAAAAGTGAAGAACAAGCAATTATGTTTCTCTCGAAATGGAGTGATATCTTCACAGATACAGAAATCAACATTAGCTATGAACTTGATACAGACACAAATGAATCAAATACAAAAATAAATTCTGATTCTAATAGGTCGCAATTCACAAGTTCAAATCGATCTACATACAATCATGGGTCGGATGACGATGACGATGCATCGAACAGTCCATATGGTAAGTGGAAGAAAATTATCTGAAAATAGCCTTGTGAGAACTCAATACTTTCAGAATGTACTGAGTTATTTCTGGGAACTTTTCGAAATATCGTTTACATTTGTGAGTCTTGTTATAAATGTATTAATACGCTATATGGAAGTTTCCATAAATTGAGGAAATTTACTTTTTGGAAAATCTAAACATACCGCGAATTGGAAATGGCTTATCATGAAAAATATCATATTTTCCTACTTTGAGGAATCCGAACAAATAGAGCTTTAATATATGCAACTAATTCTATGTTAACAGATAGAACAAGAGATAGCTATCAACAAGATCGTGATGATTCATATTCGTCTCAATCAAAAACACATTCGAAACATACACAATGTCGTCACGGCGACAGTTGCTATACTGCAGACTGTCCATACAGACATTCACCAGAGTGGCGTGCATGTAAGAAAGGTGCACAATGTAAAGATTATGCTTGTTCAGCTAATCATCCACGAAACCGTAAAGCTAAATGTAAGCATGGTAGTGAATGTTGGACAGCTAGTTGTTCCTATTTGCATCCGAATACGAACAAATCCGAGTCTTCCTACGACGACGATAATGATCAAAGTTATTCACATGTTCAACTGAACGAAGATGATTTTGACGAGGTAGGATATAACCGTAAATATCTACTGTAATCACTTGTAGTCCTGTGAATCTACATGAATAGGAACCATACAATGATATGAATAGAAACTTTTCTAAACAGAAACATCCATTTAAGTCAATCACTACCCGAATGGCTGAACGAGAAAGAATTCATCTACCAATTTTTGCATCAAGAAATAAATTTTGTGAAAGACTTCAACGAGAAAAAATACTTATTGTTATGGCTGAAACAGGTAGTGGTACGACGACTCAGTTACCACAATATGCAGCTGAATGTTTTCCTGATGATCTGATTGTCTGTACGCAACAGCATCCAATTGTAGCTATTACATTGGCTCGTCGAGTTGCGGAAGAATATGATGGTACATTGGAAGGTAATTCTGTCGGTTATCAAATTGGAAATGATAGTCATCAGAAGAATGAGTGTATAACCGGCAAGAATATCATGTACATGACGGATGCAGTACTCATTCATGAATTTCAAATGGATTCAAATTTGAGTCGAATACGTGTCTTGATCATTGATAACGCTCAGGAACGTTCATTGAACATAGATATTGTCATGGGTATTGCCAAATTATTGTTAGCCAAACGAAGAACTGACTTTTATGTTGTTGTAATCATTTCGGCTACCATCGATCCTATGCCATTGTTAAATTTTTTCGATCATTCATCAAGTCGATCATTGGATATTAAAAATCACAAAAATTCAGTAACCGTTGAAAATCTACCACCACCTATTGATTGTCCAGATTATAAATTTATTGAATTACACCTTATACCAACTTTATATCATCTATATCCTAAATATAAAGGACATACACTAGTATTCTTATCTAGTCAACGTGACATTGAAAAAGCACTTCAATTATTTAATCGTAACATCCCAAATAAATGTGTGGCATTACCTTTTTATGGATCATTATCGTTCGAAGAACAAAATAAAGTACTCAAATTTGATGAACAACAATCACATCAACGAATGATTGTTTTTTGTACGAATATTCTTGAAACATCATTTACAATTAAAAATGTTCAACTTGTAATTGATACAGGTCTCATACGGCAGCTTCGTTTTAATATTCAACATCATTTAAACATCCTTGAAACGATACGTATTTCGCGATTTTCAGCTATTCAACGCAGAGATAGAGCAAGTCATACGAAAAATGGTCACTGTGTTCGTCTTTATAATGATAATGAATTAAAAGAAGAAAATATTGAACCTGAAATTCTTCATTCTTCACTCGATCTAATGATTCTTCAATTAAAACGTTTACATCTCGATGTACAAATATTTCCTTTTATAACTCAACCAGATTCATCATCAGTACGTAGTTCACTTGATCTTCTCACAACTTTGATGTGCATTGATAAGGAAACAAAAATAACAAAACGTGGTGAACTCTCAGCTGAACTATCAATTCATCCTCGTTTAAGTACACTTATGATCAATGTCTACACGGAATACAAAGACAGTCGACGATTACTTTCACTTATGGCTACTATCGTTGCCATTTTATCAATACCCGGTTCTCTCTTTTTAACCAATGATACTATCAATGATTTGAACGATAATATTCGCAGTAGGGCAATGTCCAATGCAAATGAATATAATAGTGATTTGTTTAATCTTTGCACGATGTTCAATGATTGGAAAGAAAAAGGTACTATTGATTCGACGACTCATAAATGTATCACTTGTCATAAAGCATCTCAACATGAATTCAATACTTGTCAATCATGTCGAATACACTATTCATTCATGAATGGACTTAATCATCAAATTCTTCAATTGATCGAAAGTTCAATAGAGTTTTACATTGATACTATAACTAATTCTCGTTGGAAGTTAACACCAGGTACTAAAACTGTTGATAAACGCTTGAATGATGGAAATATCATTGGAGAATATCTTCAAAAATTATTTCCTAATCAAATCGGACATCTTCTTGTGCCACATTTACCAGATGAAGGTGTTCGCCTTATTGCAAGTGATCTACGTGCAATTATTGTCAATAGAAGCATATACGTTCAACGAGCACATGACCATAAGGAACAATATTTCGTAGCCATGTTCATTACACGGTCACTTTCAGGAAAATATATTGTCGATCGTCTTCATCAAATACCTGGACATAAACTTCCAAAATCACCCATAAAACAACTAGTTGTTCGAGAAAATATTGGATGGTCAGTTAATAAAGAAATACGAATTCTATTCAATAATATTCGTACTGAATCGTGGGCAAAATGGCTTGTGTATGAGTATGATCAAGTGTCGTGTCGTTTAATAATATGGGGTCTTAAAACAGAACATTCTCGTCTAGAATCGATTTTACAACCAATTCTAACAAATACTCATTCGAAAACGATTGAATGTGGTTCAATACGAGCAACATTTCAAAATGGTTTAATTTGTTCTTCTATTGAATTAATGGAAAATGCTCTTCGACTTGATCTTCAACGAGTACCATGTAAAAGTTATGAACAATTACTAAATTGGCTTAAAGTAAAACTCGATATTAATCGACATGATATTAAAGAGAATAATTTTCAAGAATCTAAATTATTAAGTAGGAGCGATGATGATGACGATGATGATGATTATGAAGCACCACCTTTTTACATTTTACTAAAATCACCAGAAGCTTTTCAACGAGCAACAGCACGTTTACCATCACATCATATATGTTTTCAAGGAATGTTATCATCATCTACAACTGGTACACATATGAATGAGAAAGATTCATGGGGTCGTCAATTAGTATTAACAATTCCACAAGATAGTAAATTCATGACTGCTAAACAAATATTAAATCAACTTACTCCACATGTCGTCGATTGTCGACATTTTGGTAAGAAAAGTATGAAAGCTCTACCTGCTATTCAATTAATCAATATGCCAAGAGATACTAATGAATCCTTCCTACGTCAAATGTTACAACCAATCAATCCATTAAATATCAGTATAAGACAAACACATAAGGATGGTACAGGTTCATCATCGACACATATATTCTTTGCCGATAAACAAGAACGTCAACAAGCTATTACAATTCTTCAATCAGATTTTTGTCAAAAATCAATTCAAATTACTGTTCGACATCGAACAAGTCATCAACTTGTAAAAAAACAAATCATACCAACTGTTACTGAATTAGAAGGAAAAAATCCAATTTCAAATACATTTCTTATTACAGCAACTAATCGTGAATCAGCACTTCAACTATACAAAGATATTATACCAAAAATAGAATCATCATGGAATATTGATGGTACAGCAACAGTAACCGTAACACATCCTCATTTATATCCTGACTTTGATACACTCGTTCAACAAGTAGCCAATCAATTTGAAATTCAAGTTCAACAACAATCAATCGATCAAAAACAACAGAAAGGTCGTGGTGGTATTCGTTGTTATTTCAATCATGGTACTCCACAAAAAACGGCATTAGCTGCAGCTATGCTAGCACAAGCAACATCACCGATTATTATCAAAATGACAAATCATCGACAGAAACAATTGTTCGATGAACTTTTTTCAACTGGTATTATTCAAAATTGGTCAAATAAATTAAAACTTGAAGTAATTAAGAAAGAAAGATTTGGTACATGGATCGAAATTCGAGGTCCTCAAGTTCAACAAGGTCAATTGATGCGTCAAATTGCTGATTATTCTGATACATTTGATGAACGATTTCGTGTACTCGAATTAAATTCAACGATAGCAAACTTTTTTGGACGAAAAAAATTAGCTGACAGTCAACTTGAAACACTTGCTGATAAATGGATAAATTGGGGTTTACATATTACTTACATATCAAAAACAAAATCGATTGTCATCTATGCACAACCTGAAACACAACAAAAATTCATTGATTCATGTGAAACAGAGATTAAACAAATATTGAGTAAACTTTCAACTGATGGTAATGTTATTCGAGATAAAAAGAAATGTGTGTTTTGTAGTAAAACGTCCTATTCAACGAATACATTACGTGCATGTGGTCATGCTTATTGTCGATGTGCTTCAACTTATTTGCTTGAAAAATATCCATTACAATGTCGAGAATCGAAATGTAAGATGAATATTGATATGGATGATCTATTTGAAATCTTTCAGGAACGAGAAGAACTTATGAATGCATGCAAAAAATCACTTCAAATCTATTTGAAAAAGAATTCTAAACTAAATGATCAACTATTTTGTCCTAATGCAGCATGTGTTGGTTTAATTAAACGAAATCAAGGTTACCAAACTTGTCTAACATGTGGACGAGATGTTTGTCCTTTTTGTTCTCTAATTGACGATGAATTACATCAAGGAAGAACATGTAATGAACGAAATATGGTTCATAAGATGGGCGAATTTCTTCCCGATCTATTTAAGGCAGCTGAAAAATTTGCACGCGATAATTGGACAACACAAACACCACCTATCATTCGAATCGATTATAATATGTCCTTGGCTGATCAGTGTCCATCGTTGAAACGTTTCTACAAAGGTGTTGAAACTCTTGGTCATCCTTTACCACTAGATATGGCACGAGGTTTTTTTACATTTCATGGTACAGCCCCAGGATCCATTAAACCAATTTGTGTCAATGGATTTGATCCAAGTCGTCGTGCAGGACAAGCTTGTGGTGTAGGAGAATATTTTGGTGTAACTGCAGCGATTTCGCATGGTTATTCTTGTCGAGGAAACACACAAGGACCCTATAGCATGATAATTGCTTTTCTTCTCAACTGTCCTCAATTGAGTACTCATGCAGGCTTTTGTCATGTAATGAATAATCCATGTGATTGGTCACATGCCTTCAATTTGCCAGTTCTCGTCGTATCTTATGGTACTCAAACTACTTGTCCATCGCCCTTGAGTAACTAGAAGAGGTACACCGATACATGTACGTCTTTTCAATTGTAACTGTGACCATTATACCATTCTATTCTTGATAATAAAATGAAATATAAGAAAATAATAGCGTGAACAAAATACAAATCGATTTAATATAGTACAGAATATACAATGACTGGGTGTATATGTAGATGATGAAAGCAACTATACGCACACATATAGTCTACAGAACAGTCAGAACCAACTGGCAAAAAACATACGGTTTCATCGTAAGATAGAAATCATACGAATTCGTCTAATAATCATGTCCTAAAAATATTAGCATAATTTCTTTTTTTTCTGGTATGTATATCTTGTCGAAATGCAACTGTATGAAAAAAAAATTATTTTGTTGATTTTTTCTTCTTTCATCAAAAGCACAGAAGAAGGAAGAAATACATAACTTGAAATGCTTTGACAGAGTGTGTTTTATATATATATACATATTTTTGCATTTCCTTTCAGACAGTATATACATAGTATTACAAACTTATCAATAGAAACAACAAGTGACTGACAATGTAGCTATAAAAAGATAGTATTGCCAACTATTAAACTAACACAATCGAATTGTTAGCCTTATTCAAAACGACAAAGAATCATAGCTTAATACTATTCAAAAAATGTTTTTGATAACTAGATAATTTCAGGTATATTTTTAGATGAAGTAACTTTCCTTTTTTAGATTCAGTTTTAAATGAGAGATTCAATTCTGGATTAATGTAAATTTGAAAAACTTGTTTCTGTTTTTTAAGATAATGTCTTCTGTTTTCATCCTTTTAATCCTATTTTTTAATTATTATTTATATTTTCTTCTCTATTTTTGATATTTAATTTATTAACAAAGACGACTATGTGTAGAGTGATTTTAGAGAAAAACTCAATTCAAAACATCCATTCGTACCAATGAACTTTTTTATTTAATCAAGATTATATAAACAAAATTACTTCTATTATCGATATAATGATGAGTGATGGTTGATCTATCGTGGTTAATTGCAAAGTTATTTGTAGCAATATTCAGAACATGAACACATTTGAAATTTGTTTTCAAACGTTGAGGACATTATATTAGAAAAGTAACCAGTCAAAACCACAGAACAGCATGCTTATTTATTCCAATTTAATTTCTGGAAATTTTGGCTCTCCTCACTCATTGAAATTATTTAGATAAAAATTAAGATGATATTCATAATTAACACCATCAACTCGATATTGTGACATGCGTGTAACTCAAAATAAAGAGAAAATAAATTTCAGATGCATTGTAGAAGGTGCAGATGCGAAAGATCTTAATATCGAACTAAGATGAATGAATATGTCTACATTGTAATTCATGGTTGACTCATAATCGTAATGTACGTTTTTTTTGTTTGAAAAAAGCTCTTGAAAGAAAAGTGTCCTTAACGATCTTCGTCCTTTATTTATCATCAATCTAATATCGTACGGATAGTGCGACACGTGAACAGACACGTGCACATGACCTAAAGGAAAGAACAAGAAACAAATGAAAATGTGTATTGATCTTTCTTTATGTGAGAGAAATAGCCATGCTTTTTATATTGATTATATTACTATTTCTTTAAGTTTTATTTTTGTTTTTAGTAGATTAATTATAACTTATTTACTAACAACATTTAATTTGAAGTCATAAAAATGCAATCATCAGCAGCTTCAATCGGTAACATTGGCAATAACATACCCGATTTGATGACAGCAGCACAACAAGTTGGTTATGGTGATGCAAAAGATGCATTACAATTGAAATCAGATGTAACCGTACCAAAAGAATTAAAAGCATCGCAAGTATTGGTAAGAAATCATGCTGTATCAATCAATGCTATTGATTGGAAATTATTAAATGGCAATATGTCAATTATTAAGACATATGCATTTCCACATATACCAGGTAATAAAAGAAAAACAATGCAGA